TATTGTTGATTTAATTTTCTCTACGTGCAGCACTCGGTGTGCCCCGGCGTTTAGGGAGCGATAAATCCGCTGCTACATCTGGGCGATCGGTTCAATTTTATTACTATTCCCGGCGACTTATTTGATTCACCCGTCAAAGCGGCCCGAACAGGAACACTTGGGTTACATTATCTCCCCGGCATCCACCTTATCTTCCAGATAGCCTTTGGAGGTATCGCCGGCTCGCAACGGGAATTTATGTTTGAAATTTTTGAAAATGACATTTCAAACTGTCGCAGAAGGTCTATATCCCATCAAAAATATAAATGTGAAATGATAGCCGAGTTTAATATTATGATATATGCGCTGATTGTTGACTTCTACGACAAAAGAGGTGAGATCTAAATGGGTGCCAAGTTCAATGGTCTGTCCTGAAATGTATTTATAACTATATAAAATATCATTTCTTCTTATAACTTTAAATTTATTACTATTCCCGGCGACTTATTTGATTCACCCGTCAAAGCGGCCCGAACAGGAACACTTGGGTTACATTATCTCCCCGGCATCCACCTTATCTTCCAGATAGCCTTTGAAGGTATCGCCGGCTCGCAACGGGAATTTATGTTTGAAATTTTTGAAAATGACATTTCAAACTGTCGCAGAAGGTCTATATCCCATCAAAAATATAAATGTGAAATGATAGCCGAGTTTAATATTATGATATATGCGCTGATTGTTGACTTCTACGACAAAAGAGGTGAGATCTAAATGGGTGCCAAGTTCAATGGTCTGTCCTGAAATGTATTTATAACAATATAAAATATCATTTCTTCTTATAACTTAGGATAATATACTGTAGCCTACTACTGTAGTAAATATACACACGGTGCTGCTCGCCAGTTGTCTTACTTGAAACTCGGTTTGACACGCTACCGCGTATCCAGATTCATTGCATTTCAAAACATACAATACGAGTACAGCACATCAAAACGCTTGTAATCTATAATATAAAAATGAATCGCTAAATGTGTTGGTAAGCGCTAATCTCAAGAACTACTGAACTGATTTCGATAATTCTTTTTTTAGAATATTCCTTGAGGTACGAGGATGGTTCTTACGGAGAGAAAAAATTAAAAAAATGCCTAAAAACAACACTTTTCCTTAATCCCATACAAACGATTCTTAATGATACTTAAAAGTCAATTTGAACTTTAATACCATACCATAATAGTTTTAATAGATAGAGTGATTCAAGAGGAAGGTTTATATGTATAATACATGTACACCCGTGCGAAGCCGGGGCGAGTAGTTAATAATAATAACTATTAACAATCTAGAGCCATCGGAGCCATCTAGACTCAAGTTAAACAGATCTTGTGTTATTGGTACTGGGTAATAATTGATATACATAAAAAAACACTTAAATGCATTTATTTTTAAATACATAATATACATAGAAAACACTCATACAAATTAATATAAATATCAGCACCGTGCGAGGAATCGAACCCGAGACCATCGGAAGTAAAGCGTGTTAAACCGCTATCCCACAGAGGCCGTCAGATATAATTACAGTATATTAATAAGCCGAGAAATTTAGAGATTTGTAACACATCCATGTGAAACCAGACTGGTCGCTACTCGATTCTAAAATATCATAAAAGCATACATATTGTTCTACGCTGTTCTTTAAACACCTATTTATACTTACGTGGTTATAGAACAGTTCTAGAAAATTACTCCTAGACGAATACACAGTCTATGTTTAGTGTTACACAATTTCGCGAGTGGCGTTTGTTATATTCCGCACGAGACTGCCTCCATTTTCTCTCCATCCGGATCTCCTGCCTGGAACCGGTGTGTGCCTTGTTCTTTAACAGATGACATCTATTTCATTATTGATTATTATCGTTATTTAGGAAATTACGATGGTCTGAGCTTAGGGTTCGAGCTCCTAGTCGTGTCTTCAGACTTTAGTCAGGTCCGCCAGTGTACCGTATGTTTAAAAAAAATATATCTAAGTGTTTTACCGGTTCTGATAAGTCCACAACATAAGCTCTGCTTAGCTTAGGAATAGATGACGCTGTGTAAATTGTTCAGGGTTATTATTATTATAAAAATATACTCCACTTTTATATATCCACGTCAAAAAATTTCAAACTTGACAAGCAATTATCAATCTTATCCTACTTAACTATAAATATCAAGAGAAATATCGTAAATTGGACGGCAATAAAATAGACGAGTCCACTTTGGCCATAAATTGAAATTTCGTTACATTTCCCCCGCAAGATTTATTGGGACTCTCTCTATGGTTGCTCAGAAAATATTTCATACAATGTCACAACAGTTTTACGGCAGAATCCATATGGCTTATCGATGTAACATTTTGTTGTATTACAAATAAAACGCGTTTTATAGTCGACTACCTAGTTATAGAGTATACATCAGCTCGCGCGGTGCTGTTGTGAATACGGAATTTTTCCGTAATACATACTAAAACAAGAGCTACTGCTCTAGTTTCGAATATACTATCATGAAGAGATGCAGTTTTACTAATCTTCAAATCTGTTAATATTTAATCATATTTTTTTATACACCTATTTTGGATTCTTTAAATATGTTAATATCTTCATTACATAGTATACTAGCTACTCGCCCTGGCTTCGCCCGGGTGTACATGTATTATATATATAAACCTTCCTCTTGAATCAGTCTTTCTATAAAAAAAACCGCTTCAAAATCCGTTGTGAAGGTTTAAAGATTTAAGCATACATAGGGATAGACAGCGACAGCGACTTAATTTTCATTACATAGTATAAAAGGTAATAGATAGAGTGATTCAAGAGGAAGGTTTATAATACAATACATGTACAGCCATGCGAAGCCGGGCGAGTAGCTAGTTATATATAAAAATTACGTGTCACATTGTTTGCCCGCGATGGACTCATAATCTACTGAACTGCAAATTTGATTTGCACATTGTGTGCGATGTGATCCAACTTGAAAGATAGGACAGCTTACATCTCAATTTATAATAATATCGTAATATTCAAGAACCTTAGCCACAGCATCGTGTGGCCGGGTCCGCTAGTTTAACCATATTTCATTATATTTTATTTTCATTACATTTTGGATTCTTCAAATCCATTAATATTTAGCTATATTTTATTATACACATATTTTTGATCCAAATATTTTGGTCGTTTCAAAACTAGATAATTTTTGAAACCCTAATCAGTTTTATTATCTTTATACATTTTTCAAAACTTACCTTTATTATATAACTAGCTACTCACCCCGGCTTCGCACGGGTATACATGTATTATACATATAAACCTTCCTCTTGAATCAATCTATCTATTAAAAATATCGCTTCAAAATTCGTTGCGTAGTCTTAATGATTTAAGCATTCATAGGGACGGGCAGACAGCGACCGAGACTTTATTTTATACTATGTAATGATTAGCTGTACCTCCGACTTCGTCCGCGTAAATAGTGACATTGACTAAATAATAAAATATTATCTGTGCCTTTATTATGCGTTTATTTTTTTTACTACTCGATGGATTCCACACAGTCAGGTTTCCATACCGTATATTCGTAGTCTCACACATGTTTATTGTAGCGGAATTAAACTAAATAGTAGTGAAATGGACTTCCGCAAAATGACACCTAATTCGATAATTTTTTTATTTAATTTTAACGTCATAGTGGTTTAATAAACATTCTTCCATGTTGCAGTGCCTAAAAGGTGTATGTTATGTGTATGAATTAATTCATTATAATAATAATAATAATAATAAAATTAGATTCTGCTCGCATTGTACGCCGGTTTCTCTCCCTGGGGCCTTGAACCCCGGCCAACTGTGCTCCTGCCGGGGGTATGTTGCCATCTCCTCTCCTTAAGAGGGGAGATGAGAATTTTTGGATAAAAATAATAATAATCTCAGTACAATTCACACAACGCCATCTAGACCCAAGTTAAGCTTGCTAAAGCTTGTGTTGGGTACTAGACAACTGATACAAATACATAGATTTTTTTTTCGTAAATACATACATGTTATACATAGAAAATACCCCGACTGATATAAACAATCATACTCATGAATACAAATGTTTGTGACGTGCGAGGAATCGAACCCGCGACCATCGGACGTAAAGCGGTGTGCTAGACCGCTAGACCACCGAGGTCGTCGTATATATACAGTAATTGTGTAAAGCGATTTATTTATTTACGTTATAAATAAATCGAGGCTCGACAGGTTGTCGTCGTTGCCATTGATTTTATTACTCGTTTTAAAAGCTAATTTTATCTTTTCAGTGTGTATAGCTTACATTACTCTATATGCAAGATGTAACGTAACGGACAGTTTGCGAAAAAAATTGGCTATGGTAAATATATAGAGTATAGAGTTACATTCTTCTAATACTCGACCGGTGTAGTCATTCAGTTGTTCATCTATATATATAAATAAAATTGGAGTGTCTCTTTGAATTTTGAAACCGTTTTTTACTACATGCATATGAATATAAATATGGAAGTACATACACCAAAATTACTGTTTTACAATTTTTGTCTGTCTGTCTGTCTGTTTGTTCCGGGTAATCTCTGAAATGGCTGGACCGGTTTTGACGGGACTTTTATTGACTGGTAACTGATGTAATAAGAAGTAACGTGGATTATTTTTATTAAAAAAATCTTTTATTCCAGAAAAATATGTAGTATATAATAGTATATAAACTTAAATTTGTTTTACTTTTAATAAATGTGTACTTACGTATATACATACATGATATCTTGCCTAAGTGACGTAACTAAATAAATAAATCTATCTCAATAACGCCTCTCTATCTGTCTGGCTGTCTATTTCTTGACGTAACCATAAATATATCATAACTACTCATAACTTATATCATAAATACTAGAGTAACTTTGTTACACAAATATATCATATTTGTATCACTTTAAATGTATTATCGTTGTATTGTAATTATTAACTATTATTACTGTTTAGGATATATTGAAAACAAAACAGTCTAACATGGTAGTGTCAAGTTTGATTTTGCGACTGTCATTTTGCAAGATAGCCTCAGAAGCCGATGGTCAGTCTAAATTGGAGTTATTATCAGCTCTGGGGATGAAGGATAAAAATATGGTAAATTATTAATTACTATATTTTTTTGTTAACTATAAAATATTGCATAAAATATCATATTCAGTCTGGAGTAACTGTACAAATTATTATTATTATAAACTACCTGTTTCCTGCGACTTCGTCCGCGTGGAATTAAACTTTCATTTTCTAAAATAAAAGTAGCCTAAGTTACTCCCTATTATATAATAAACAGTCCCGTCAAAATCGGTCCAGACATTTCAGAGATTAGCCGGAACAAACAGACAGACAGACAAAAATTGTAAAAACTGTTATTTTGGTTTATGTATCGTATTTATATTCATATGCATGTAATAACGGTAATTTCAATATTACAAACAGACACTCCAAATTTATTTATGTGTAAAGATTGTAATAGGACTCTCGTTCATGTAAATTATTAAATATCTTCATATTTATAAAGGAAGTACTAAAATTTTTATATTTTCTATAATATTTTTAGGCTGTTAAAGTTCATTTTTCTGTGTGAAATGTATTCCTTTTGACATAATAAGAGCGTTATACTTACACATACTTTAGTTACAGAAAAATGAACTTTAAAAGCTTAAAAATGTCATTAATATTAATTATGTTTGGTAAACATATAAAAAAATAAAATATTTGTCATGTAATTTGTTAAAAAACGTCCTTTTTACATTGTTTTTAGTTTTTAAAATTAATTATATATATTATATACTTACAGTAGAAACATAACATAATCCTCTGAAATAATAAATCAGAACTTATATTTTAAACTCGTGTTTCTTGAATGGAACTTTGACTACATCACTAATGAGTGATGTAGTAAAAGTTCCATTCAAGAATATTTGACGATTCTATAACCATTTTCAGCTCAAGACGTGCTACAGCAGCGTGAAAACTGATCTATCGATACTAACAGAATCTGATCTCATCTTACTCAATAAGATATACGTGAACTACACATCTCACGTGAAGTCAAGTTTCATAACGGATTCTTGGCAAAATTATGGAGTGTTAGTTGAAAAGATATCGTTTAAATATAAACAAGCGGCGAAATCGTTCATTAATAGATGGGTTTGTAATTTTACAGTTTTTTTTTATAATTGTCATGATGCAGGGTTTTTTTTTATTACGATGTTGACGAGAAGCCTTTGGCTCATCTGATGGTATACAGTTACTATATTCTATGGACACCTAAGATACCAGGGGTATGAGGTGTGCGTTGCCGACCCTTAATAAACTTTAATATACCCTTCTTGAAAAACCCCATGCTGTAGTATCGCAAGAAAACCTCGGCAGGTAGTTTATTACACAATGTAAGTGTACGCGGGATGAAGCTCCTCTGAAACCGCATTGTCCGAGACCACTTAGGTTCTAGCGTGTGGGGTTGAATTCCCTGTCGATGGCGAGCGGTGCGATGGAAAAAGGTAGCCGTGGGCATCATGTCGAGCAATTCTTCAGAACACATAAAGCGATGCGAAGTCTCGCCTCAAGCCACTTAGCTACAATCCCGTTTGCAATATTGGGATCAACGACAATTCTCATAGCACGTCTCTGAACCGAGTCAAAAGGACCGAGCTGGTTGGTATCCAGGGGTCCGGCTCCAAGATGAGAGCAGTACTCCATGTACGTGTGAATCTGCGACTTATATAAGAGGAGTCTCTGGTCCGCAGTGAAGTATCGCTGTCCGAGACTACTTAGGTTCTAGCGTGTGGGGATGAAATCCTTGCCGATAGCGAGCGGCAAGTGACAATACCTCTGACTACCTCATCTGGAAAAACGGTCTAGATGGTAGTTAATTATTTTATTAGTCTGTATTGTCTTTTTTCCTATGAACACGCTTTCCCTCACAATGTGAATATTTGTATTCATGAGTTTCATGAATTTGTTTATTAATGCCCATTGCTTTTTCCTATGCATTATAAGTATCTATTTATAATAAAATAATACTTAAGTGTACTTATTAGTGACTTAGTGTCACAGTACAAGTATCTAAGTATGGGACGAAATGGCGCTGTGTATTATTTTTATACATATTTAGCAATTTATCCTCGATGGTCTAGTGCTTTAATTTACGGCTTTACTTCCATGGCCGCGGATTCGATTCCTCGCACTGTACATACATGCATTTATGAATATTATTCCTTTTATCGGTCTGGATATTTTCAATATATATTATGTATATATTTACAAAATATGTATATCTGTACATTTATATTAGTTATCTAGTACCAATAAAATATACAAATATAATAATCTCATCTCGATCTGTTTAAAATTGACAATGTTTCATATAAACTTTCATCCTCTATTTTATCCCTTTGGGGGTAGAATTAATCAAAATCATTTCTTAGCGGATGCCTACGTCATAACATCTACCTGCATGCCAAATTTCAGCCCGATCCGTCCAGTGGTTTGAGCTGTGCGTTGATAGATCACTACGTCAGTCACCTTTGAGTTATATATATTTAGATATTGAATCAGATAAATAATAATATAATTAAAGTGCATTTTAGGTGGAAGTTAATACATACAAACGGATAACAGATATAATAAATGACAATGATATTGACGAGTCCACAGCAATGATTATAGTGAATGCAGCACATATGAAGGTAAATTTCAAAATCAAATCAAAATATCCTTATTCATATAGGCCTATTACAGACTCTTATGATAAGTCAAATCTACCATCAGTTCAAAGTGCTTTCAAGCTAAGAAGTGATAAGAAGCACTTATTCTTTTCAAATGTAATGATCTTATACATGTTTAAAAAATACAAAATCTTTTTTTTTATTTTTTATTTTAAGGCGCAACGCTACCAGCAAATTGGGTTATAGTACAATTATTGATTTTTTTATATTATTGTTAATAAATTATATTGATTTTTAATTTCATTTGATTGGAAAGTTATATTCATATTGTACTCCAATATTTATTTTGTTGATTCCTATATAAACCTAATTTCGCGGTATTTTAGTACGCAGTATAAGACGTGTGTATTGAGATAATAATATAATATTAATAGTAAATTTTATTTAATCTCCACAAATTACATAATGCCAGTTTTATTATATAAATGCCAATACTAAAAATCACAAATATAATTTGTGGGAAATCTGGAGCCCAAACTAACCCATAGCCTGTACCTAAGACACCAGATCTCCCAGAGATCCAATTATATTTGTTCTTTTTTCAAAAAAGTTCTGTATTAAAAAAAGTATCTTAATTGATCTTCAATTGCGTAAAAAGAACACCAGTGATAAAATGACCATGAAGTCAGATCAGAACCATCGCGGTACATTTTCCACGATGGTTTCCAGGGGAACCACGTAGAGGTCTACCCGACATGGTACACTGCTAGCAATGGTCTTCCCTAAAATATGGTTGAGCGCAGTGATGGCTGGCTCATCCGTCATACTCGTGAACGAGTGCTGCTTGTAGGGACTGGTCTGCTCTTATCACTACGACTGATTTAATCTTATTGTGCTTTTATATTTGAGCCTAAATAAATTAGTGCTGGTTGGTAGTTTGTATTCACACGTTTCGACTTGTAAAATGTGAACTTACAAGGATTGTTTAAAAGAGCAACACACAAGTTTCTTGCTTATTCTTCTTGTGATGAGACAGCTTGCCGAATAAGCGGTAGATTTAAAAAAAAATTTAACTGTTCAAAAGTGATTTAATTAAGTTTATTTGAATAAATTATTTTCTATTCTAATGGGATTATTACTCCACATTTCGAAATGAAACCCTGAGCTGCTGTTAAACAAGTATCTTAAGAAGAAGAAGAAGAAGAAGAAGGGGAGAAGAGTGGGTAAGAAGTGGGACACCAGTGATAAAATGACCATGTAGTCAGGTCTGTACCGTCATGGTAAATATTTCACGATCGTTTCCGGGAGGAACCGCGTAAAGGTCAACCTGACATACTAGCAATGGAATTATTAGTCCACTTTCAATCATCAAATAATTATATTCTCTAAGTACATGATAGTTTTCTAATCAAATTAAATTAAAAAAATTAAATTGCAGCCTACTTGGGAATTCCCATTCAATATTAAATACACTACACAGAAAACCTTCAGACTAAACAACAATACCGTGATAAAAATTCCAATGATGACAAAAGTTGATCAAATACTTTATTTGGATGATGAATTGAACGACTTAGAGGTATGTAATTTATTTTATTTATTTATTCATTTCAATATTACAACATAATTATAATTTATTTTTAATTATATATTACTAGCTGTACCTACGATATCGTCCGCAAAAATAATGAAAAGATATTTAATAACCTAACTCAATATAAGTCAAATAAAAAGGATTCATCGTTTTAGCTTCAAATATGATTATACAAAAAATAAGTTTCAGATACTTGAAACTTATATTTTAAGCTATTGATTGAATTTTATGGATTTTTTGTATCATCATTTTTGAAGCTAAAACGATGAATCTTTTTTATTTGACTTATACTGAACTTTGATACTGAGGACACTTGTATACAATCTTTCAACCCTTTTTCTTTATTTATATATAATCAATAGGCTAAAAAATAAGTTTCAATCATCTACCTGCAAAAATGGCGAATTTACATAAAAAATTGCATCCCCTATTTTATTTTACCCTCTTAAGGGACTTTTTTACAAACATTGAATGTCATATTTATTTACATTTAATCAACTGCCTCAAAAATAAGTTTCAAGCTTCTAGCTTCAAAAATGACGATTCTTCCATACAATCTTTCATCCCCACTTTCAACCCCTTACAATCCTATTTCGCATTAAAATATAGCCTATGTCCGTTCTCAGGGTCTAGACTATCTGTATACCAAATTTTATTTAAATCGGGTCAGTAGTATTGACGTGAAAGCATGACAGACAGACAGACAGAGTTACTTTCGCATTTATAATATTAGTAAGGAAGTAAAGATATACGTGAAGCAAAAACTTTGTACCTCTTTTTACGAAAATTGCGTGGACAGAGGTGTAAAAATTTCGCACACTTATCATCATCACTACATAGTATAGAGCAAAGTCACTATCGCTGTCTGTCCGTGCTTATATGCTAAAATCTTTAAAACTACGCAACGGATTTTGAAGCGGTTTTTTCAAATAGATAGAGTGATTCAAGAGGAAGGTTTATATATATAATACATGTACACCCGTGTGAAGTCGGAGCGAGTAGTTAGTAATTAGATATATTTTAACAGTTCAAATTTTGGCGCGCTCTGCCTCTTTCACCTTGAACCGCAAGGTGAAAGAGTGCAGAATACTAATATTTTTTTTATTATTTTATATTGTCTATAAAAAAAATTTTATTGATTGAAACAAATGCGCACAACGACATATATTACAAACACACACACAATATATATACTGTTTTGCATAATTGTTATTCCTGATTCATTATTAAATTATATATTAGATTTTATTAGATATTTTAAAGTTTAATGTTTATTTTTAAACTAGTGTAATTTAATTTGGTCTGAATTATTTTAATAACATGAATCCATTAAGTATTAAATTAATGTTTAATATCTTGCCAGTTCTATCCATTAGATTCGTAGACTGAACTCATATAAGTGACTAAAATATAATATCATTACATAGTATAAAATAAAGTCGCTGTCGCTGTCAAATAGGAACGTTATTTTTTTTTTTTCGGACTACTCTAATGCTGTTGGCCGTAGCTGGCCTTTACAGCTTCACCGGACGTTATGGGGCGAGTGCAGATGGCACTCCAAACCCGCGGAAGGACTTATGGAGCGGCTGAAGGCCAACTCCTGCCCGATGGATACGACTTTAGTCTGAGGGCACCACTAGGGGTTCGAACCTCGGCTCAGGCCGTCGTAATTTCGATCCCCGTTTGAATTGGACGGGGGATCGATCGGAGGGGTGGAACGTTATGTATGCTTAAATCTTTAAAACTACGTAACGGATTTTAAAGCGACTTTTTTTAATAGATAGAGTGACTCTTGAGGATGGTTTATATATATAATACATGTATACTCATACGAAGCCGGGGCGAGTAGCTAGTATATGATAAATTATTGTTTAATTTGAATATTCAGTTTTATTACAGATGATTTCAATGCATCTTGGTGCACGAGGTTTTTCAATATGTATTATAGTGCCAAACAGTGTTGACAGTTTACCAAAATTCCTGGACAAGCTGTCCAAAGACCCTGATATGATGATCAGAAACCGAAACAACATGAAGTGGACATATCTGAAGGTGGAACTGCCCAGATTTAAGATAAAATTTCTCGTTGATTTAACTGAGTATTTGAAAGGGGTAAGTTTGTATTTTGCTCTATAATTTAAGTAAATAAACATTTTAGTCTGTGTAATGAAACATTAAGTTATCATTTACCCTACAAATGCCGAGCTTTTTTTTTATAAAAAACATCATTAATGATACATATTGTCCAAAAATGTTTTACTTATCTTCTGTGTTTGTTCTTATTAACACAAGATATATTCTATATACTTAAAACACGTAACATATATACATATATATAATACATCTCATCCTAATCAAAAAAGTTTGTGAGTTTTGATGGTTGATTGTTACTCTTTCACGGAAAAACTACTAAACGGATTTTAATGAAACTTTACAGTAACATAGCCTATACCTACACCGGAATAAGATATAGGCTATAAATTTCATGCAGGTAAACCGCGGGCACAGCTAGTATGATATATAACTGTAAATATATAAATTACTAGCTACTCGCCCCGGCTTCGCCCGGGTGTACATGTATTATTATATATATAAACGTTTCTCTAGAATCACTCTATTTATTAAAAACGAACCGCTTCAAAATCCGTTGCGTAGTTTTAAAGATTTAAGCATACATAGGGACAGACAGCGACAGCGACTTTATTTTATTCTATGTAATGATATATATATCATGAAATAGTTTTTAATATAGAAGATGTTAATATAGATTTTGCTCATCTGTTCACTTAATTTTATTTTCACATTTACGACTATATAAATATAGAAAGTTTCATCAAGATTCATAATCCTTAGTACAAAAATAAAAATAACCAAGTCATATGTCTTCATTTCTAGATTGGATTAAAAAGTATATTCGATCTACAATCGTCAGGTTTAGATTCCATATCAAATAACAATACAATAAATAAAATGTACTTGAACCGAGTTAAGCAGAAAATCTTCTTTGAGCTTGATGAGATGGGCCCATACAGACAAATAAACCGTAAGCTTACTAAATCCCTCAGTAACTTATCCTAACTAATTTTATATAAATTTTAATGTATAAAAAAACTATACACGAAAATGATGGAATAGCCCGCCGCAACCCCCAATTATGCCCCTCGTCCTCCGAATGTTGAGATGGATGGATGTGTGGTGTGACGAGGATAGACAAGATAAAGAATGAATACATCAGAGGAAGTATGAAAGTGGCACCGATGTCGGAGAGGTTAAAGAGTAATCGTCTATCGTGGTATGGGCATGAAATGCGTAGGAATGAAGATCATATCCTAAGGACGGTGCTACATATGAATGTGGATGGTTATAAGGGTAGAGGAAGACCGAAAAAGAGATGGATGGACGGTGTAAAAGATGATATGGTGAGAAAGGGAGTAAATAACGGGATGACTGCGAACAGAGATGATAAGCAGAAAAGAAAAATATATTACGCCGACCACAAATAAATGGGATAAGGAAGAAGCAGATGATGAGGTCCTCCCCGGAGGGGGGGCGGTCTTTTAAAGATTTTTCTATACAATAAAACAAGGTGAGGTGCCAGAATACAATAATAGGAAGCATCTTCTTTCGCTTCAATGGTAACTAAATGTATTTTCCCCAGAATGCTGCGAAGACTTTTGCCCATTCTGTCGCGTTTTTTAATTCTTCCTCTGTGCAGGATGTTGGGCACAAAGGACAGGTCAATAGATATGGCCTATGGCCCCATAGTCTGTGAATAATAATAATAGTAATAACCCAGGACAGTTTACACAGCGCCATCTAGACCCAAGCTAAGTAGAGCTTGTGTTATGTCTTATAGATAACTGATACAAATACATAGATTGGTTGTCGTAAGTACATATTATACATAGAAAACACCCAGACCGATAAAAATAATCATAGTCATGAATATAAATGTTTGTATCGTGCAAGGAATCGAACCCGCGATTATCGGAAGGAAGCGGTATACTAAAACGCTAGACCACCGTCAAATAGTTGTATAAAGGCATTTTACCTTCTAAATGTATAAATTGATCGTAATTTCTCCACAGCCTCCGACTACATGATGCAAGATATCTCACCGAATGCAAGAGTTAGTGGAAACCTAAAGTATTTTGCCGCAACTAAGCCGTTTTACTTCACCATCACAATGGAAACGGGTCACGCCGTGGAAGAGTTATTCAATGGTGTTTATTATGGTTATTAATAAAGTAAAATTATGGAGACGTTTTAAGATCTGATAAAATCGAATGAAAGAGCTTAATTCATTTATTTTAGGAAGATTAACGTTGTAATTTTACAGGTTACTTACCATATTAGATTGTCCTATACCAATTAATAATCTATTAATCGTATTACTAGATTAAATTTTCTCATTATCCAATTTTAACAATCAAAGTAATCACGTGACAGTGTTTTAGTTGTAGTTATACAGTACAAGTAAACAGACCAACATACCAAGTAATGATGTATCCACAGAACATACAAATAAAGTACGGCTATGTACCATTAAGGAATTGATTACATACGAGTTTCCTGAGGCAGTGCTGAAACAAAACAGCACCATTAAAATACCACATGTCTTTTTTATGTCAGATGAAAAAATCTATGTTTATTTATATATCAAGATGTGTATTTTTTTATAACACAGAGGACAAACGAGCATGCGGCTCACCTGATGGTAAGTGATTACCGCCGCCCATGAGCACCCGGAAGAGAGGAATTGCAAGTGCGTTGTCGGCCTTTCAAAAAATAATAAGCTCTTTTCATGAAGGTTTCAATATCGTATCGGTTTTTTTAGACGTTTTTTTTATTACACTATACATAAGTTATTTATTTAGAATCTTGCACTAGTTATTACCGACTAAATACCACAGTCACAGCGGTAGGTTGACTGGAAGAGATCGCCTTCAGAGATATCCTAGCTCACATTTTCAGTCAGCCTTAAAATTTGTAGTCTATGTATTATTCTAGTGCATAAGTTATATCATTGTAAAAAAAATTAATTAATTTTTTATCTATCGGTCTATCTGTATGTTTGTTCCGTCTAATCTCTGAAATGTCTGAACCGATTTTGATGGGACTTTTTTTGACAGGTAGCTGATGTAATGAGTATCTTAGGCTACTTTTATTTTGGAAACATAAAGTTAAATTCCACGCGGACGAAGTCGTTGGTCCAGCTAGTTAATAATATTAGTAAAAACATTTAGAATAGAATAGAATATAAAATCATTTATTCAAATAAACTTAATTTAAGCACTTTTGAATAGTCATAACAATTTGTTTCTCTTACTTTATGTTAAACATGCACATGCATTATACATACGAGCATGTATTAGAATTCTAATTATTTTCATTGTTAGCATTTATTGTATACTTCTATCATTTATATGAATACAAACGTCAGTGACATCACAAATGTATAATAAGGGTGGACTAACGAGCCGCGTGGCGTCCACCCTGCACTCTATTTATTGAAAAACGCCCTCGCGACAAATTGGCCGAACAACAAAAGGGTAACAATATACTGCTCACAAATTACGTCAATCATTGGCATGGAATCAGAACGTTAATTGATCAAGGGTTGAAGACAGATTACTGAATACTTTCGCAACTTAAAAATAAATAATATATACTTGATAGTTGGAAATTGTAGATTTCTGGGCATTACATCTTCACGTATCACGTGATGACGTGATATCCTGATGCTGTTCATGAATACAGCGACGGTTTACTCTTACTATGAGATGAGCCGTTAACTTCTTAGACATTATAGTTTAGTAAAAATAATCTCAGTATCATTATATAGTATAAAACAAAGTCGCTGTCGCTGTCTGTCCGTCCTTATGTATGCTTAAATCTTTAACACTACGCATCGGATTTTGAAGCGGTATATATGTAGTATAAAACAAAGTCGCTGTCGCTGTCTGTCCGTCCTTATATATGCTTAAATCTTTAACACTACGCATTGGATTTTGAAACGGTATTTTTAATAAATAGAGTGATTCACGAGGAATGTTTATATATATAATATATGTACACCCGTGCGAAGCCGGGGTGAGTAGCTAGTAAATAATAAATCAATCTCAGGACAATTCATACAGCGTCATTTATACCCAAATTAAGCTAGTTTAAGCTTCTGTTATGGGTGTCAGACAACTGATACAAATATGTAGATATGTTTTGTTTGTAAATACATACGTATTATATATAGAAAATACTATGAAAGTACAGACGACTTCAACATTAGGTTTTACAATAAAATACCAGAGTCTGTTATAAATCTGCCAGAAAAAAGATTTAAATGTCAAATAAAACAGTTCCTTTGCAAAAAAGCTTACTATAAAATTGAAGAATTCGTTAACGATAATAATGTTTTTATAGAAAAACTTTAAATCCATAGCACTGACAATATTATCTGATTACATTAATAATGAGTGCGTAGCGACTTCTATGTTGATTATCGCATGCCTCTTACTTGTTATACTGTAATTATTTATATAAAAAAAAACATCTATTAAAAAGAGCAACACAAGTTTCTTGCTCATTCTTCTTGTGATGAATCTGCATTCCGAATGAGTGGTAGAATCAAAATATGACTATTCAAAAGTGCTTGTAATGAGTTTATTTGAATAAAGATTATTTCTATTTTCTATTTCTATTATTTTTTATGATGACAAATGATCGATAGACGATAGCACCAATAGATAAATGAGTGGACTGACTCTACATACGTGTGAGATTAGACATCATTGGATAAAAAGTATAAATCCTTGTAATGTAATGGTAACGAATGGTAATAGTGCAAAGTGCAAAACTCACAATTCTATAACTTGAAAAAAATAATTCAAAATTGATATAAAAATGTGGCAAAAGTTTGCAACAATGATAAAAATAAAGATATATTAATTTAATAAAAATAGAAATAGAAATAATCTTTATTCAAATAAACTTAATATAAGCACTTTTGAATAGTCAAGTTTTTTTATTCTACCGCTTATTCGGATTGCAGATTCATCACAAGAAGAATAAGCAAGAAACTTGTGTGTTGCTCTGTTAAATAAATATTGATTTACTTATATTTAATTAATAACAAGGATTAGGCATGCGACAATCAACATGGAAACTTAATCTCTGTCTCACATAATCTCTCTCTTAACTACCTTAATTGTTATGAGATCGCAAAAGTTCTATGGGAAGGCCATAAATGTGGTAAAAAGTGATATGAATACTGTGGAGGGGTAAATTGAAGGAAACCTTTACTCGAATAAGGCGAAATGATGAGATTATGACCTCACCCTTCAGCTGAAATACAAGATTTGAGGTGAGATGTGGTGGGAAAAGGTGAGACAAAGCAAGCAAGGTGGTATAGAGGATTCAAAAATATTCTAAAAGATTGCATAAGTTTTTGAATTGAACGAATTGACTTAAAACCGGTAATCCTGTCCACAAACTCCGTTTGACAGCTCTGTCCCGTAACACTGAACCGATCCGGCGCGATCCGGTCGGAACCAGAGCGTCTGATCGCACGGAACTAATTGAATCCCTCGGGATGTCACCTGTCAGATGAACACTGAACATCGGACATTGTGGACATTAAATTCCCTTTATTATTGATTTCTTAATAGCACATTATAATATATTTTTACTAGATGACCCAACAAACATTGTTTTGTCATTTAAATTAAAATCGTTATTTAAAAATAGGGGTTGATGCTTGTCCGAGTCAAAATAGTGTATAAGAAAAATAAAAATCTCTTGTCTATGTTATCAGAACATATATAGTGTATTGAGTGTACTAGACATGATCTATACATATAAATAAAATTGGAGTGTCCGTTTGTAATTGAAAAAATCGTTTTTTACTACATGCATATAAGTATAAATACGGCACATACACCAAAATAACATTTTTTACAATTTTTGTCTGTCTGTTTGTTCCGGCTAATCTCTGAAATGGCTAGACCGATTTTGACGGGACTTTTTTGGCAGGTAGCTGATGTAATAAGGAGTAACTTAGGCTACCTTTATTATAGAAAATAAAGTTAAATTCCACGCGGACGGAATCGCGTGTACATTTAGAAAATAATAAATAAATAAAATGTGTTTTAATGAAAGTTATAAAACAGCGAATAATTTAAGTTACCACAGATCCTAACACAGATTTATGCATTGTTTCATTATTCAAACATAACACCACAAAATTATCGGACAATAACTAAATTCGAGGAACAACAATGATCCTACTAAATTATACGGGCACTACTTTATATGCATGGCAATATACAGTTAACAATATTCAAATCGGTTGTGTAATAACAATCAGGGGCAATTATCAGGGCGTTGGGGAGAGACGGCAGCAAAATATGCAGATGAGTCATGTCGCTCGGCCCCAAGGCACCACCTACAGTATAACAAACCGTACTAAATAATTACTTGAAAACGACTGTTAGTTTACATACAAACATAACATACTATAATAATAATAATATCTCAGGACAATTCACACAGCGCCATCTAGTCCCAAGCTAAGCAGATCTTTTATTATGGTTAGTAGACTACATATACATTTTTTTGTAAATATATACGTAATTTACGTAGATAATACCCAGACTGGGGGGGAAGAAGATTGTTAGTAATGTGGACTCATGACACCATTACTAGCAATGTACTATATCAGGTTGACCTCCACGTGGTTCCCCCTGGAAACCATCGTGATAAATTCATGGCGAATTTACCGCGATGGGCTAACTGACCTGATCTCATGCTCATCTTGTCATCCTCCACTGGTGCCCCGCCAGCGTAAACCGTTAGCGCAGGCGGGAGCACCATTCCACTATCATACACAAAAAAAAAATACCCAGACTGGAGGAAAAGAGGATTGTTAGTAACGTGGACTAACAACGCCCTTGCTAGCAATGTACCACGTCAGGTTGACATCCAAACGGTTCCCCCTGGAAACCATCATCACAAATTCCTGGTGATTTTTTCTTGATGGACTGACTGACCTGACCTCGTGCTCAACTTATCATCCTCCTATCAGGTAGGCGCACCATTTCATTTACATTCATAAAAAAAATATACATAAGAAACACTCAGACCGACATAAATAGTCATATTCATGAATACAAATGTTTATGCTGATCAAATACCGAACCTGCAACAATCGGAAGTAAGGCGGTACGTTATAACATTAAGACTACCGAG